GATGCTTCTTACGGAGCCACTCCTTAGTTGCCCTGGCTGTGTGTTTCGGGTCGTTGTCATGCTGGAAGACCCAGCCACGACCCATCTTCAATGCTCTTACTGAGGGAAGGAGGTTGTTGGCCAAGATCTCGTGATACATGGCCCCATCCATCCTCCCCTCAATACGGTGCAGTCGTCCTGTCCCCTTTGCAGAAAAGCATCCGCAAAGAATGATGTTTCCACTTCCATGCTTCACGGTTGGGATGGTGTTCTTGGGGTTGTACTCATCCTTCTTCTTCCTCCAAACACGGCGAGTGGAGTTTAGACCAAAAAGCTCTATTTTTGTCTCATCAGACCACATGACCTTCTTCCATGACCTTCTTCCATTCCTCCTCTGGATCATCCAGATGGTCATTGGCAAACTTCAGACGGGCCTGGACATGCGCTGGCTTGAGCAGGGGGACCTTGCGTGCGCTGCAGGATTTTAATCCATGACGGCGTAGTGTGTTACTAATGGTTTTCTTTGAGACTGTGGTCCCAGCTCTCTTCAGGTCATTGACCAGGTCCTGCCGTGTAGTTCTGGGCTGATCCCTCACCTTCCTCATGATCATTGATGCCCCACGAGGTGAGATCTTGCATGGAGCCCCAGACCGAGGGTGATTGACCGTCATCTTGAACTTCTTCCATTTTCTAATAATTGTGCCAACAGTTGTTGCCTTCTCACCAAGCTGCTTGCCTATTGTCCTGTAGCCCATCCCAGCCTTGTGCAGGTCTACAATTGTATCCCTGATGTCCTTACACAGCTCTCTGGTCTTGGCCATTGTGGAGAGGTTGGAGTCTGTTTGATTGAGTGTGTGGACAGGTGTCTTTTATACAGGTAACGAGTTCAAACAGGTGCAGTTAATACAGGTAATGAGTGGAGAACAGGAGGGCTTCTTAAAGAAAAACTAACAGGTCTGTGAGAGCTGGAATTCTTACTGGTTGGTAGGTGATCAAATACTTATGTCATGCAATAAAATGCAAATTAATTACTTAAAAATCATACAATATGATTTTCTGGACTTTTGTTTTAGATTCCGTCTCTCACAGTTGAAGTGTACCTATGATAAAAATTACAGACCTCTACATGCTTTGTAAGTAGGAAAACCTGCAAAATCGGCAGTGTATCAAATACTTGTTCTCCCCACTGTATATGGGAACTCCTTCAAGAATATTGGAAAAGCATTCCTAATGAAGCTGGTTGAGAGAATGCCAAGAGTGTGCAAAGCTGTCATCAAGGCAAAGGGTGGCTATTTGAAGAATCTCAAATATAAATATATATTTTGATTTGTTTAACACTCTTTTGGTTACTACATGATTCCATATGTGTTATTTCATAGTTTTGATGTCTTCACTATTATTCTACAATGTAGAAAATAGTTTAAAAAAGTAAAGAAAAACCCTGGAATGAGTAGGTGTCCCCAAACTTTTGACTGGTACTGTGTATTCATGTGATGAGTGACAAATAAAGGACTATCTATGGGCTAAAAAACCTAAATAGAAAACCGTTAGATGTCCAAGTCATAAACGGCTCTCTAAGGTCTGCAATGACTAACATGACAAGAGGAACTGATGATGCTCGACCCAATTTACAAATTGCACCTTTCAAGAGTACGTTTAACGCCGGACTGAGTTCCATTAAAAATATACAGGAGGGCGCTCTTCCTCCAGAACCAACTGGACTGTGCTTTTGAGACAGTGTCTGTACCTGATATGCTTAATTCAGTATGCCACTGTATACATGTTCTGAAACGGTACAGACACGGTCTCAAAGATACGGTCCAGTTGGTTCTGGAGGAAGAGCGCCCTCCGTGTCGCTATGATGCCTCAAAAACTACAACCACAACCGGCCAACAAGTCGCACTGTTTAGACGCATCCGGCTCCAGTCAATGACGTCGCGGTTTACTTTTTTACGTCTGTTGATCAAATGACAGCTCAAAACGTTTGGAAAATACATCAATATGTGCCAGCAGCGACGTGATGAGGCCTTACATTTATTCTGCAAGGATAAGGTAAAGGAAGTAGCTAAGCTAACAGTTTGACCTGAATAATCAGTTCACTTGGAGATGTGCTCTCAAAGAAGCTAGGTACTGTTTTGAAACCTTTGATAATGATGTTGGTTTTAATTGGCCATAACGTTACATGGCTAGCTAGCTAGCTACTTACAGAAGTTAACAGTTTGTTTTGCACATTGCCAAGGAAGTCCCAAGTGCTCGCAACTAACGTTAGCTTGCTCTGCATGGCATATAGCGACGTGTTTACCTTACTGTTATGCTAACGTTAGCTTGCTCTGCATGGCATATAGCGACGTGTTTACCTTACTGTTATGCTAACGTTAGCTTGCTCTGCATGGCATATAGCGACGTGTTTACCTTACTGTTATGCTAACGTTAGCTTGCTCTGCATGGCATATAGCGACGTGTTAACCTTACTGTTATGCTAACGTTAGCTTGCTCTGCATGGCATATAGCGACGTGTTTACCTTACTGTTATGCTAACGTTAGCTTGCTCTGCATGGCATATAGCGACGTGTTTAACCTTAACTGTTATGCTAACGTTAGCTTGCTCTGCATGGCATATAGCGACGTGTTAACCTTACTGTTATGCTAACGTTAGCTTGCCTCTGCATGGCATATAGCGACGTGTTTACCTTACTGTTATGCTAACGTTAGCTTGCTCTGCATGGCATATAGCGACGTGTTTTACCTTTTTAACTGTTTATGGGCTAACGTTAGCTGCTCTGCATGGCATATAGCGACGGTTACCTTACTGTTATGCTAACGTTAGCTTGCTCTGCCATGGCATATAGCGACGTGTTTAACCTTACTGTTATGCTAACGTTAGCTTGCTCTGCATGGCATATAGCGACGTGTTTACCTTACTGTTATGCTAACGTTAGCTTGCTCTGCATGGCATATAGCGACGTGTTTACCTTACTGTTATGCTAACGTTAGCTTGCTCTGCATGGCATATAGCGACGTGTTAACCTTACTGTTATGCTAACGTTAGCTTGCTCTGCATGGCATATAGCGACGTGTTAACCTTACTGTTATGCTAACGTTAGCTTGCTCTGCATGGCATATAGCGACGTGTTAACCTTACTGTTATGCTAACGTTAGCTTGCTCTGCATGGCATATAGCGACGTGTTACCTTACTGTTATGCTAACGTTAGCTTGCTCTGCATGGCATATAGCGACGTGTTTACCTTACTGTTATGCTAACGTTAGCTTGCTCTGCATGGCATATAGCGACGTGTTTACCTTACTGTTATGCTAACGTTAGCTTGCTCTGCATGGCATATAGCGACGTGTTTACCTTACTGTTATGCTAACGTTAGCTTGCTCTGCATGGCATATAGCGACGTGTTTACCTTACTGTTATGCTAACGTTAGCTTGCTCTGCATGGCATATAGCGACGTGTTTACCTTACTGTTATGCTAACGTTAGCTTGCTCTGCATGGCATATAGCGACGTGTTTACCTTACTGTTATGCTAACGTTAGCTTGCTCTGCATGGCATATAGCGACGTGTTTACCTTACTGTTATGCTAACGTTAGCTTGCTCTGCATGGCATATAGCGACGTGTTTACCTACTGTTATGCTAACGTTAGCTTGCTCTGCATGGCATATAGCGACGTGTTTACCTTACTGTTATGCTAACGTTAGCTTGCTCTGCATGGCATATAGCGACGTGTTTACCTTACTGTTATGCTAACGTTAGCTTGCTCTGCATGGCATATAGCGACGTGTTTACCTTACTGTTATGCTAACGTTAGCTTGCTCTGCATGGCATATAGCGACGTGTTTACCTTACTGTTATGCTAACGTTAGCTTGCTCTGCATGGCATATAGCGACGTGTTACCTTACTGTTATGCTAACGTTAGCTTGCTCTGCATGGCATATAGCGACGTGTTTACCTTACTGTTATGCTAACGTTAGCTTGCTCTGCATGGCATATAGCGACGTGTTTACCTTACTGTTATGCTAACGTTAGCTTGCTCTGCATGGCATATAGCGACGTGTTTACCTTACTGTTATGCTAACGTTAGCTTGCTCTGCATGGCATATAGCGACGTGTTTACCTTACTGTTATGCTAACGTTAGCTTGCTCTGCATGGCATATAGCGACGTGTTTACCTTACTGTTATGCTAACGTTAGCTTGCTCTGCATGGCATATAGCGACGTGTTTACCTTACTGTTATGCTAACGTTAGCTTGCTCTGCATGGCATATAGCGACGTGTTTACCTTACTGTTATGCTAACGTTAGCTTGCTCTGCATGGCATATAGCGACGTGTTTACCTTACTGTTATGCTAACGTTAGCTTGCTCTGCATGGCATATAGCGACGTGTTTACCTTACTGTTATGCTAACGTTAGCTTGCTCTGCATGGCATATAGCGACGTGTTTACCTTACTGTTATGCTAACGTTAGCTTGCTCTGCATGGCATATAGCGACGTGTTTACCTTACTGTTATGCTAACGTTAGCTTGCTCTGCATGGCATATAGCGACGTGTTTACCTTACTGTTATGCTAACGTTAGCTTGCTCTGCATGGCATATAGCGACGTGTTTACCTTACTGTTATGCTAACGTTAGCTTGCTCTGCATGGCATATAGCGACGTGTTAACCTTACTGTTATGCTAACGTTAGCTTGCTCTGCATGGCATATAGCAACGTGTTTACCTTACTGTTATGCTAACGTTAGCTTGCTCTGCATGGCATATAGCAACGTGTTAACGTTACTGTTATGCTATCGTAAGCCAAAGATACTGCTGGTAGAACTAGCTAATAGCTAGCTAGATAGTCATCATCTTTCCTACGGTATGTATTTGACATCCATCCAAGCTGTATGTCTGATATATGAATACAACATTGTGTTTTACTGTATCTAACTATTGTACATGTAGGTGTTCTACTTTGCCATTGCATCATGGTCCCAGTCTGATTATGGGAACATCTCTGTTTTGTTTTGCTGTTAATTCTCTTCTCTAAGGTGTCGGCCGTGGTTTAGATAGAAGACACAGAGAGAGAGGTGCAGGAAGTGAACCCTCCTATAGCGGTGCTTCTTTGTTGCCATGGCGTCTGAGCTGCAGGATGCGATCTGGATGGCTAAACAGGAGCGTCACAAGAACCTGTTCCTCAACTACAGGTGTGTGGTTTATTAACACATGTTCCTATCCATTAAAGGAAAGGTCAGTTATATTATAGCCTGGAGTGCTAGCCTTAATTCAACCTGTTCCTCAACTACAGGTGTGTGGTTTATTAACACATGTTCCTATCCATTAAAGGAAAGGTCAGTTATATTATAGCCTGGAGTGCTAGCCTTAATTCAACCTGTTCCTCAACTACAGGTGTGTGGTTTATTAACACATGTTCCTATCCATTAAAGGAAAGGTCAGTTATATTATAGCCTGGAGTGCTAGCCTTAATTCAACCTGTTCCTCAACTACAGGAACCTGAACCACTTCCCTGTAGAGCTGCTGAAGGATGAAGGTCTACAGTTCCTACAGAGGCTCTACATGAAGAGGAACTCTCTCACCACGCTGGTACTGACCGGTCCAGCCTGTTACACGCTGGTACTGACCGGTGGGGTCTCTGGTCCAGCCTGTTACACGCTGGTACTGACCGGTGGGGTCTCTGGTCCAGCCTGTTACACGCTGGTACTGACCGGTCCAGCCTGTTACACGCTGGTACTGACCGGTCCAGCCTGTTACACGCTGGTACTGACCGGTCCAGCCTGTTACACGCTGGTGCTGACCGGTCCAGCCTGTTACACGCTGGTGCTGACCGGTCCAGCCTGTTACACGCTGGTGCTGACCGGTCCTTGCCTGTTACACGCTGGTACTGACCGGTCCAGCCTGTTACACGCTGGTACTGACCGGTCCAGCCTGTTACACGCTGGTACTGACCGGTCCAGCCTGTTACACGCTGGTACTGACCGGTCCAGCCTGTTACACGCTGGTACTGACCGGCGGGGTCTCTGGTCCAGCCTGTTACACGCTGGTACTGACCGGTCCAGCCTGTTACACGCTGGTACTGACCGGTCCAGCCTGTTACACGCTGGTACTGACCGGTCCAGCCTGTTACACGCTGGTACTGACCGGTCCAGCCTGTTACACGCTGGGACTGACCGGTCCAGCCTGTTACACGCTGGGACTGACCGGTGGGGTCTCTGGTCCAGGCTGTTACACGCTGGTACTGACCGGTGGGGTCTCTAGTCCAGGCTGTTACACGCTGGTACTGACCGGCGGGGTCTCTGGTCCAGCCTGTTACACGCTGGTACTGACCGGTGGGGTCTCTGGTCCAGCCTGTTACACGCTGGTACTGACCGGTGGGGTCTCTGGTCCAGCCTGTTACACGCTGGTACTGACCGGTCCAGCCTGTTACACGCTGGTACTGACCGGTGGGGTCTCTGGTCCAGGCTGTTACACGCTGGTACTGACCGGTCCAGCCTGTTACACGCTGGTACTGACCGGTGGGGTCTCTGGTCCAGGCTGTTACACGTTGCTTGCTGACACTGAGCCTTTCAAGACGCACGTAACACCTTGGATCAGAGCTAGGTGTCTGTCCGGCGTAGTTTAGATCCAGTATTTATGTGTGGTAGCTCTCATTCTGTAGCCTGGCTCTGAGCTCTTAGGGATGTAGTCCGGTTTCTATCAACGGCAGGTCATTCATATCGGTGGCATGACAATGAACGAACACAGAGATGAGTTTGCTGATTTTACAGATTAGTTGCATTGTGGTCTGTGTTCTAAAAACATGCTTTCTCTCCTTTCTGCAGCCGGATAATCTTGCACAGAAGCTCCCCAACTTAATAGAGCTGTAAGTATAGAAGCTCCCCAACTCAATAGAGCTGTAAGTATAGAAGCTCCCCAACTCAATAGAGCTGTAAGTATAGAAGCTCACCAACTCAATAGAGCTGTAAGTATAGAAGCTCCCCAACTCAATAGAGCTGTAAGTATAGAAGCTCCCCAACTCAATAGAGCTGTAAGTATAGAAGCTCCCCAACTAATAGAGCTGTAAGTATAGAAGCTCCCCAACTCAATAGAGCTGTAAGTATAGAAGCTCCCCAACTTAATAGAGCTGTAAGTATAGAAGCTCCCCAACTCAATAGAGCTGTAAGTATAGAAGCTCCCCAACTCAATAGAGCTGTAAGTATAGAAGCTCCCCAACTCAATAGAGCTGTAAGTATAGAAGCTCCCCAACTCAATAGAGCTGTAAGTATAGAAGCTCCCCAACTCAATAGAGCTGTAAGTATAGAAGCTCCCCAACTCAATAGAGCTGTAAGTATAGAAGCTCCCCAACTCAATAGAGCTGTAAGTATAGAAGCTCCCCAACTCAATAGAGCTGTAAGTATAGAAGCTCCCCATCTCAATAGAGCTGTAAGTATAGAAGCTCCCCAACTCAATAGAGCTGTAAGTATAGAAGCTCCCCAACTCAATAGAGCTGTAAGTATAGAAGCTCCCCAACTCAATAGAGCTGTAAGTATAGAAGCTCCCCAACTCAATAGAGCTGTAAGTATAGAAGCTCCCCAACTCAATAGAGCTGTAAGTATAGAAAGGTATTAGAAAAGCATATTTTCTTGCTGTAGGAAATACATCGGGCAGGAATGCATAGGAACTGTGGGACCAGCTGTTTTTATTCATCCACTAGATGGCGCTAGTTTTTATTCATCCACTAGATGGCGCTACAGTTACAGATGCATTGTATTTGGGGAAAGTAATCAAATCAATGGTGTTGTATTCTTTCACATGTTGGTGTTTTTTACTTGTTTTCAGTCTTTAAAAGTGTCGTTGCTCTTTGTCTTCAAGGTATCTGCATTCCAACAATATAACCAGCGTTCCCCAAGGTGATTTCTCATTGATATTCAGTCATTTACAGGAGGCCAATACTATTATACTGAGTTACTTCCATGGCCAATACTATTATACTGAGTTACTTCCATGGCCAATACTATTATACTGAGTTACTTCCATGGCCAATACTATTATACTGAGTTACTTCCATGGCCAATACTATTATACTGAGTTACTTCCATGGCCAATCACTATTATTACTGAGTTACGTCCATGGCCAATACTATTATACGAGTTACTTCATGGCCAATTACTATACTGAGTGGACTACTTCCATGGCCAATACTATTATAACTGATTTTCCCATCTATTACTGATTTACTTCCATGGCCAATATCTATTATCTGATTACTGAGCTACTTCCATGGCCAATACTATTATACTGGATTACTTCCATGGCCCAATACTATTATACTGAGTTCTACTTCCATGGCCAATACTATTATACTGAGTTACTTCCATGGCCAATACTATTATACTGAGTTACTTCCATGGCCAATACTATTATACTGAGTTACTTCCATGTAACACCGTGTCAGTACTACATAGAGCCATGACTACATGGAACTCTATTCCACATCAAGGAACTGATGCAAGCAGTAGAATAGGATTTTTATATAAATCCACCTTATGGAACAGTGGGGACTGTGAAGCAACACAAACATAGCCACAGACACATGCATACACACACACAATAACAGATGCACCATACACACACGTACACATGGATTTAGTGATGTAGATATGTGGTAGTAGAGTAGATGCCTGAGGGCACACACTTAATGTGTTGTGAAATGTGTTGTGAATGTATTGTAATGTTTTTAAAATTGTATAAACTGCCTTAATTTTGCTGGACCCCAGGAAGAGTAGCTGCTGCCTTGGCAGGAACTAATGGGGATCCATAATAAATCCAAATACAGGGATCCCAATCACAGTGTTGTCATTTGAAAGTTTACACAGTAAACAAGCAGTTGTATTGAATCCAAATATCGTGAGTGTATAATGTTTTCTGAGTAGCTGATAACCGGTTAACATTGAGGAGGTTCTAACTTAAAGGTGATGTTTACACTGCCTCAGCTATCGGTAACCTGTCCTCAGCTATCGGTAACCTGTCCTCCGCTATCGGTAACCTGTCCTCAGCTATAGGTAACCTGACCCGGCTGCAGTCTTTAGACCTGAGTGACAACGCTCTGCAAGTCATCTGTCCAGAGATCGGCAGGCTGAGGTCCCTACGACACCTGAGACTGGCCAACAACCAGCTGAAATACCTGCCTCCAGGTAAGACTGGCCAACAACCAGCTGAAATACCTGCCTCCAGGTAAGACTGGCCAACAACCAGCTGAAATACCTGCCTCCATGTAAGACTGGCCAACAACCAGCTGAAATACCTGCCTCCAGGTAAGACTGGCCAACAACCAGCTGAAATACCTGCCTCCAGGTAAGACTGGCCAACAACCAGCTGAAATACCTGCCTCCAGGTAAGACTGGCCAACAACCAGCTGAAATACCTGCCTCCAGGTAAGACTGGCCAACAACCAGCTGAAATACCTGCCTCCAGGTAAGACTGGCCAACAACCAGCTGAAATACCTGCCTCCAGGTAAGACTGGCCAACAACCAGCTGAAATACCTACCTCCAGGTAAGACTGGCCAACAACCAGCTGAAATACCTGCCTCCAGGTAAGACTGGCCAACAACCAGCTGAAATACCTGCCTCCAGGTAAGACTGGCCAACAACCAGCTGAAATACCTGCCTCCAGGTAAGACTGGCCAACAACCAGCTGAAATACCTGCCTCCAGGTAAGACTGGCCAACAACCAGCTGAAATACCTGCCTCCAGGTAAGACTGGCCAACAACCAGCTGAAATACCTGCCTCCAGGTAAGACTGGCCAACAACCAGCTGAAATACCTGCCTCCAGGTAAGACTGGCCAACAACCAGCTGAAATACCTGCCTCCAGGTAAGACTGGCCAACAACCAGCTGAAATACCTGCCTCCAGGTAAGACTGGCCAACAACCAGCTGAAATACCTGCCTCCAGGTAAGACTGGCCAACAACCAACTTAAATACCTGCCTCCAGGTAAGACTGGCCAACAACCAGCTGAAATACCTGCCTCCAGGTAAGACTGGCCAACAACCAGCTGAAATACCTACCTCCAGGTAAGACTGGCCAACAACCAGCTGAAATACCTGCCTCCAGGTAAGACTGGCCAACAAACCATCTGAAATACCTGCCTCCAGGTAAGACTGGCCAACAACCAGCTGAAATACCTGCCTCCAGGTAAGACTGGCCAACAACCAGCTGAAATACCTGCCTCCAGGTAAGACTGGCCAACAACCAACTGAAATACCTGCCTCCAGGTAAGACTGGCCAACAACCAGCTGAAATACCTGCCTCCAGGTAAGACTGGCCAACAACCAGCTGAAATACCTGCCTCCAGGTAAGACTGGCCAACAACCAGCTGAAATACCTACCTCCAGGTAAGACTGGCCAACAACCAGCTGAAATACCTGCCTCCAGGTAAGACTGGCCAACAACCAGCTGGAATACCTGCCTCCAGGTAAGACTGGCCAACAACCAGCTGAAATACCTGCCTCCAGGTAAGACTGGCCAACAACCAGCTGAAATACCTGCCTCCAGGTAAGACTGGCCAACAACCAGCTGAAATACCTGCCTCCAGGTAAGACTGGCCAACAACCAGCTGAAATACCTGCCTCCAGGTAAGACTGGCCAACAACCAGCTGAAATACCTGCCTCCAGGTAAGACTGGCCAACAACCAGCTGAAATACCTGCCTCCAGGTAAGACTGGCCAACAACCAGCTGAAATACCTGCCTCCAGGTAAGACTGGCCAACAACCAGCTGAAATACCTGCCTCCAGGTAAGACTGGCCAACAACCAGCTGAAATACCTGCCTCCAGGTAAGACTGGCCAACAACCAGCTGAAATACCTGCCTCCAGGTAAGACTGGCCAACAACCAGCTGAAATACCTGCCTCCAGGTAAGACTGGCCAACAACCAACTTAAATACCTGCCTCCAGGTAAGACTGGCCAACAACCAGCTGAAATACCTGCCTCCAGGTAAGACTGGCCAACAACCAGCTGAAATACCTACCTCCAGGTAAGACTGGCCAACAACCAGCTGAAATACCTGCCTCCAGGTAAGACTGGCCAACAACCAGCTGAAATACCTGCCTCCAGGTAAGACTGGCCAACAACCAGCTGAAATACCTGCCTCCAGGTAAGACTGGCCAACAACCAGCTGAAATACCTGCCTCCAGGTAAGACTGGCCAACAACCAGCTGAAATACCTACCTCCAGGTAAGACTGGCCAACAACCAGCTGAAATACCTGCCTCCAGGTAAGACTGGCCAACAACCAGCTGAAATACCTGCCTCCAGGTAAGACTGGCCAACAACCAGCTGAAATACCTGCCTCCAGGTAAGACTGGCCAACAACCAGCTGAAATACCTGCCTCCAGGTAAGACTGGACAACAACCAGCTGAAATACCTACCTCCAGGTAAGACTGGACAACAACCAACTGTTCAGCAGTCTTATGGCTTGGGGGTAGAAGCTGTTAAGGAGCCTTTTGGACCTAGACTTGGTGCTCCGGTACCGCTTGCCGGGCGGTAGCAGAGAGAACAGTCTATGACTCGGGTGGTTGGAGTCTTTGACCATTTTTAATATGGCGCCATACTGGAGCAAGTTAGGGTTTAAGAAGCATCTGACAAATAAAATGTGATTTGATTTAACGTTGGACCAGAGCTGGCTGGCTGCAAACTGGTGTGCAGAGCAGCACCAACATTAAATTACAAACACTTCTTACCTTTTTGAATTTAATAAATCCAATGTGAAACATAACTATAGTATCCTTAACTAGCATTAACCCATTCTCTCATTAAACATCTCTCTCCCTAATTTCTGAATCACACTTGTAACGTCAGGAGGCTACAGTAGCCTATGTTTCGGAGGGGCAGGTAGCTGGCACACACTGGGAAAGGATTCCACTGGCAGGTAGCTGACACACACTGGGAAAGGATTCCACTGGCAGGTAGCTGGCACACACTGGTAAAGGATTCCACTGGCAGGTAGACACTGGTAAAGGATTCCACTGGCAGGTAGCTGGACACACACTGGTAAAGGATTCCACTGGCAGGTAGCTGGCACACACTGGGAAAGGATTCCACTGGCAGGTAGCTGGACACACTGGGAAAGGATTCCACTGGCAGGTAAACGGTAAAGGATTCCACTGGCAGGTAGGACACACTGGTAAAGGATTCCACTGGCAGGTAGTGACACACTGGTAAAGGATTCCACTGGCAGGTAGCTGACACACACTGGTAAAGGATTCCACTGGCAGGTAGCTGGACACACACTGGTAAAGGATTCCACTGGCAGGTAGCTGACACACACTGGTAAAGGATTCCACTGGCAGGTAGCTGACACACACTGGTAAAGGATTCCACTGGCAGGTAGCTGACACACACTGGTAAAGGATTCCACTGGCAGGTAGACACTGGTAAAGGATTCCACTGGCAGGTAGACACTGGTAAAGGATTCCACTGGCAGGTAGACACTGGTAAAGGATTCCACTGGCAGGTAGCTGACACACACTGGTAAAGGATTCCACTGGCAGGTAGCTGGCACACACTGGGAAAGGATTCCACTGGCAGGTAGCTGGCACACACTGGTAAAGGATTCCACTGGCAGGTAGCTGCACACACTGGTAAAGGATTCCACTGGCAGGTCGCTGACACACACTGGTAAAGGATTCCACTGGCAGGTAGACACTGGTAAAGGATTCCACTGGCAGGTAGACACTGGTAAAGGATTCCACTGGCAGGTAGACACTGGTAAAGGATTCCACTGGCAGTAGCTGACACACACTGGTAAAGGATTCCACTGGCAGGTACGGCACACACTGGAAAAGGGATTTCCCCTGGCACAACTGGGAAAGGATTCCACTGGCAGGTAGCTGGCACACACTGGTAAAGGATTCCACTGGCAGGTAGCTGACACACACTGGTAAGGATTCCACTGGCAGGTAGCTGACACACACTGGTAAAGGATTCCACTGGCAGGTAGCTGACACACACTGGTAAAGGATTCCACTGGCAGGTAGCTGACGCACACTGGTAAAGGAGTTCCACTGGCAGGTAGAACCTGGTAAGGATTCCACTGGCAGGTAGACACTGGTAACAGGATTCCACTGGCAGGTACTGGAACACTGGTAAAGGATTCCACTGGCAGGTAGCTGACACACACTGGTAAAGGATTCCACTGGCAGGTAGCTGACACACACTGGTAAAGGATTCCACTGGCAGGTAGCTGACACACACTGGTAAAGGATTCCACTGGCAGGTAGACACTGGTAAAGGATTCCACTGGCAGGTAGACACTGGTAAAGGATTCCACTGGCAGGTAGACACTGGTAAAGGATTCCACTGGCAGGTAGACACTGGTAAAGGATTCCACTGGCAGGTAGCTGACACACACTGGTAAAGGATTCCACTGGCAGGTAGCTGACACACACTGGTAAAGGATTCCACTGGCAGGTAGCTGACACACACTGGTAAAGGATTCCACTGGCAGGTAGCTGACACACACTGGTAAAGGATTCCACTGGCAGGTAGCTGACACACACTGGTAAAGGATTCCACTGGCAGGTAGCTGACACACACTGGTAAAGGATTCCACTGGCAGGTAGCTGGCACACACTGGTAAAGGATTCCACTGGCAGGTAGCTGACACACACTGGTAAAGGATTCCACTGGCAGGTAGCTGACACACACTGGTAAAGGATTCCACTGGCAGGTAGCTGACACACACTGGTAAAGGATTCCACTGGCAGGCACACACTGGTAAAGGATTCCACTGGCAGGTAGACACTGGTAAAGGATTCCACTGGCAGGTAGCTGGCACACACTGGGAAAGGATTCCACTGGCAGGTAGCTGACACACACTGGTAAAGATTCCACTGGCAGGTAAGCTGACACACACTGGTAAAGGATTCCACTGGCAGGTAGACACTGGTAAAGGATTCCACTGGCAGGTAGACACTGGTAAAGGATTCCACTGGCAGGTAGCTGGCACACACTGGTAAAGGATTCCACTGGCAGGTAGACACTGGTAAAGGATTCCACTGGCAGGTAGCTGACACACACTGGTAAAGGATTCCACTGGCAGGTAGCTGACACACACTGGTAAAGGATTCCACTGGCAGGTAGCTGACACACACTGGTAAAGGATTCCACTGGCAGGTAGCTGACACACACTGGTAAAGGATTCCACTGGCAGGTAGCTGACACACACTGGTAAAGGATTCCACTGGCAGGTAGCTGACACACACTGGTAAAGGATTCCACTGGCAGGTAGCTGGCACACACTGGGAAAGGATTCCACTGGCAGGTAGCTGACACACACTGGTAAAGGATTCCACTGGCAGGTAGACACTGGTAAAGGATTCCACTGGCAGGTAGCTGGCACACACTGGGAAAGGATTCCACTGGCAGGTAGCTGACACACACTGGGAAAGGATTCCACTGGCAGGTAGCTGACACACACTGGTAAAGGATTCCACTGGCAGGTAGACACTGGTAAAGGATTCCACTGGCAGGCACACACTGGTAAAGGATTCCACTGGCAGGTAGCTGGCACACACTGGGAAAGGATTCCACTGGCAGGTAGCTGGCACACACTGGTAAAGGATTCCACTGGCAGGTAGCTGACACACACTGGGAAAGGATTCCACTGGCAGGTAGCTGGCACACACTGGTAAAGGATTCCACTGGCAGGTAGCTGACACACACTGGTAAAGGATTCCACTGGCAGGTAGCTGACACACACTGGTAAAGGATTCCACTGGCAGGTAGACACTGGTAAAGGATTCCACTGGCAGGTAGCTGGCACACACTGGGAAAGGATTCCACTGGCAGGTAGACACTGGTAAAGGATTCCACTGGCAGGTAGACACTGGTAAAGGATTCCACTGGCAGGTAGCTGACACACACTGGTAAAGGATTCCACTGGCAGGTAGCTGACACACTGGTAAAGGATTCCACTGGCAGGTAGCTGGCACACACTGGTAAAGGATTCCACTGGCAGGTAGACACTGGTAAAGGATTCCACTGGCAGGTAGACACTGGTAAAGGATTCCACTGGCAGGTAGCTGACACACACTGGTAAAGGATTCCACTGGCAGGTAGCTGACACACACTGGTAAAGGATTCCACTGGCAGGTAGCTGACACACACTGGTAAAGGATTCCACTGGCAGGTAGACACTGGTAAAGGATTCCACTGGCAGGTAGACACTGGTAATGGATTCCACTGGCAGGTAGACACTGGTAAAGGATTCCACTGGCAGGTAGACACTGGTAAAGGATTCCACTGGCAGGTAGCTGACACACACTGGTAAAGGATTCCACTGGCAGGTAGCTGACACACACTGGTAAAGGATTCCACTGGCAGGTAGCTGACACACACTGGTAAAGGATTCCACTGGCAGGTAGCTGACACACACTGGTAAAGGATTCCACTGGCAGGTAGCTGACACACACTGGTAAAGGATTCCACTGGCAGGTAGCTGACACACACTGGTAAAGGATTCCAGCTGGCAGGTAGACACTGGTAAAGGATTCCAGCTGTCAGGTAGACACTGGAAGAAGGTTTCCAGCTGGCAGGTAGACACTGGAAGAAGGTTTCCAGCTGGCAGGTAGGCACTGGAAGAAGGTTTCCAGCTGGCAGGTAGACACTGGAAGAAGGTTTCCAGCTGGCAGGTAGACACTGGAAGAAGGTTTCCAGCTGGCAGGTAGACACTGGAAGAAGGATTCCACTGGCAGGTAGACACTGGTAAAGGATTCCAGCTGGCAGGTAGACACTGGAAGAAGGTTTCCAGCTGGCAGGTAGACACTGGAAGAACGTTTCCAGCTGGCAGGTAGACACTGGAAGAAGGTTTCCAGCTGGCAGGTAGACACTGGAAGAAGGTTTCCAGCTGGCAGGTAGACACTGGAAGAAGGTTTCCAGCTGGCAGGTAGACACTGGAAGAAGGTTTCCAGCTGGCAGGTAGACACTGGAAGAAGGTTTCCAGCTGGCAGGTAGACACTGGAAGAAGGTTCTGGGTGACAGAGTGAGAGCTTTGCATAGGCGCTTTGTTGTGCAGAGACAGAGGGAGGGGGGAGATGGGAGATACTGCCAGCAGGAAAACACCATATTTTCAATTGGCAATAAATAGTAATAAATGAAATATGCTATCATGTGTATATATCAGCACATTAATTTTACAATTTTATGATCACTTATCTGAGAAGGTACTAACAGTAATACATGTGTTTATCTGAGAAGGTACTAACAGTAATACATGTGTTTATCTGAGAAGGTACTAACAGTAATACATGTGTTTATCTGAGAAGGTACTAACAGTAATACATGTGTTTATCTGAGAAGGTACTAACAGTAATACATGTGTTTATCTGAGAAGGTACTAACAGTAATACATGTGTTTATCTGAGAAGGTACTAACAGTAATACATGTGTTTATCTGAGGGTCGCCTCGACACCTTTTTTTTTTTGTTGCAACTTTGAAATTGGCCACTAGTGGGAATTAACACACAGTGGGAACTAACACAGAACTGTCAATAACTTTATAATAAAACATCTGATTGGCTTAGAATAAAAAACTGTTATGATATAACAACCAGATGAATTAGTTGAAACATTCAACAGCAGAATTTTCTTCTTTTTTATCCAAAGACTGAGGTGGGCTTAATGGGGTACGCATACCCTATAAGTCATTGACTGACTCTCTCTCTCTCTCTCTCTCTCTTGCTCTCTCCATCTCTCTCTCTCTCCATCTCCCTCCATCTCCCTCTGTCTCTCTGTGTCTCTCTCTCTCTCTGTCTCTCTCTCTCTCTCTCTCTCTGTCTCTGTCTCTGTCTCTGTCTCTGTCTCTCTTTCTCTCTCTCTCTCAGAGATTGGAGCCCTCTGTGACCTAGAGACCCTGGATGTCAGTAGAAATGTGTTGGTGTGTCTTCCAGAGCGGCTGCACCAGTGTCTGTCTCTCCAGTGTCTCACTGCTGACAGGAACAACCTGACCAGCTTCCCCAGACAGCTCTGCCAGCTCCGCAGCCTCAACGAGCTCAGTATGGCTGCTAACCAACTCACCTCTCTACCCCTAGGTTAGTATGGGGTCAGGGGTTAAAGCTCCGCAGCCTCAACGAGCTCAGTATGGCTGCTAACCAACTCACCTCTCTACCCCTAGGTTAGTATACACACACACACCTTGCTGCCCCTAGGGTCGTGTCTGTCCCTGTTTCCAGCAGCCGATCCAGAGCCCCTAGGGTCATGTCTGTCCCTGTTTCCAGCAGCCGATCCAGTGCCCCTAGGGTCATCTCTGTCCCTGTTTCCAGCAGCCGATCCAGTGCCCCTAGGGTCATGTCTGTCCCTGTTCCCAGCAGCCGATCCAGTGCCCCTAGGGTCATGTCTGTCCCTGTTTCCAGCAGCCGATCCAGTGCCCCTAGGGTCATGTCTGTCCCTGTTTCCAGCAGCCGATCCAGTGCCCCTAGGGTCATGTCTGTCCCTGTTTCCAGCAGCCGATCCAGTGCCCCTAGGGTCATGTCTGTCCCTGTTTCCAGCAGCCGATCCAGTGCCCCTAGGGTCATGTCTGTCCCTGTTCCCAGCAGCCGATCCAGAGGGGGATCCCTTTTTAAAGGAGGATGTAGAGCGAACGCCTCTAACTGCTGCTGACACCATGCCAGGACAGACATGTGGATCTCACCTGTCTGAAGGACACAACCACAGGGATAAACTATGGGCCCTGCTCTAAAGTAGTGCACTATATAGGGAATAGGGTACCATTCTCTGGTCTAAAGTAGTGCACTATATAGGGAATAGGGTGCCATTCTCTGGTCTAAAGTAGTGCACTATATAGGGAATAGGGTGCCATTCTCTGGTCTAAAGTAGTGCACTATATAGGGAATAGGGTACCATTCTCTGGTCTAAAGTAGTGCACTATATAGGGAATAGGGTGCCATTCTCTGGTCTAAAGTAGTGCACTATATAGGGAATAGGGTGCCATTCTCTGGTCTAAAGTAGTGCACTATATAGGGAATAGGGTACCATTCTCTGGTCTAAAGTAGTGCACTATATAGGGAATAGGGTACCATTCTCTGGTCTAAAGTAGTGCACTATATAGGGAATAGGGTGCCATTCTCTGGTCTAAAGTAGTGCACTATATAGGGAATAGGGTGCCATTCTCTGGTCTAAAGTAGTGCACTATATAGGGAATAGGGTACCATTCTCTGGTCTAAAGTAGTGCACTATATAGGGAATAGGGTGCCATTCTCTGGTCTAAAGTAGTGCACTATATAGGGAATAGGGTGCCATTCTCTGGTCTAAAGTAGTACACTATATAGGGAATAGGGTGCCATTCTCTGGTCTAAAGTAGTGCACTATATAGGGAATAGGGTGCCATTCTCTGGTCTAAAGTAGTGCACTATATAGGGAATAGGGTACCATTCTCTGGTCTAAAGTAGTACACTATATAGGGAATAGGGTGCCATTCTCTGGTCTAAAGTAGTGCACTATATAGGGAATAGGGTGCCATTCTCTGGTCTAAAGTAGTGCACTATATAGGGAATAGGGTGCCATTCTCTGGTCTAAAGTAGTGCACTATATAGGGAATAGGGTGCCATTCTCTGGTCTAAAGTAGTGCACTATATAGGGAATAGGGTGCCATTCTCTGGTCTAAAGTAGTGCACTATATAGGGAATAGGGTGCCATTCTCTGGTCTAAAGTAGTGCACTACATAGGGAATAGAGTGCCATTCTCTGGTCTAAAGTAGTGCACTATATAGGGAATAGGGTGCCATTCTCTGGTCTAAAGTAGTGCACTACATAGGGAATAGGGTGCCATTCTCTGGTCTAAAGTAGTGCACTATATAGGGAATAGGGTGCCATTCTCTGGTCTAAAGTAGTGCACTATATAGGGAATAGGGTGCCATTCTCTGGTCTAAAGTAGTGCACTATATAGGGAATAGGGTGCCATTCTCTGGTCTAAAGTAGTGCACTATATAGGGAATAGGGTGCCATTCTCTGGTCTAAAGTAGTGCACTATATAGGGAATAGGGTACCATTCTCTGGTCTAAAGGAGTGCACTATATAGGGAATAGGGTGCCATTCTCTGGTCTAAAGTAGTGCACTATATAGGGAATAGGGTGCCATTCTCTGGTCTAAAGTAGTGCACTATATAGGGAATAGGGTGCCATTCTCTGGTCTAAAGTAGTGCACTATATAGGGAATAGGGTGCCATTCTCTGGTCTAAAGTAGGGAATAGGGTGCCATTCTCTGGTCTAAAGTATGCACTATATAGGGAATAGGGTGCCATTCTCTGGTCTAAAGTAGTGCACTATATAGGGAATAGGGTGCCATTCTCTGGTCTAAAGTAGTGCACTATATAGGGAATAGGGTGCCATTCTCTGGTCTAAAGTAGTGCACTATATAGGGAATAGGGTGCCATTCTCTGGTCTAAAGTAGTGCACTATATAGGGAATAGGGTGCCATTCTCTGGTCTAAAGTAGTGCACTATATAGGGAATAGGGTGCCATTCTCTGGTCTAAAGTAGTGCACTATATAGGGAATAGGGTGCCATTCTCTGGTCTAAAGTAGTGCACTATATAGGGAATAGGGTGCCATTCTCTGGTCTAAAGTAGTGCACTATATAGGGAATAGGGTGCCATTCTCTGGTCTAAAGTAGTGCACTATATAGGGAATAGGGTGCCATTCTCTGGTCTAAAGTAGTGCACTATATAGGGAATAGGGTACCATTCTCTGGTCTAAAGTAGTGCACTATATAGGGAATAGGGTACCATTCTCTGGTCTAAAGTAGTGCACTATATAGGGAATAGGGTACCATTCTCTGGTCTAAAGTAGTGCACTATATAGGGAATAGGGTGCCATTATCTGGTCTAAAGTAGTGCACTATATAGGGAATAGGGTACCATTCTCTGGTCTAAAGTAGTGCACTATATAGGGAATAGGGTGCCATTCTCTAGTCTAAAGTAGTGCACTATATAGGGAATAGGGTGCCATTCTCTAGTCTAAAGTAGTGCACTATATAGGGAATAGGGTACCATTCTCTGGTCTAAAGTAGTGCACTATATAGGGAATAGGGTACCATTCTCTGGTCTAAAGTAGTGCACTATATAGGGAATAGGGTACCATTCTCTGGTCTAAAGTAGTGCACTATATAGGGAATAGGGTACCATTCTCTGGTCTAAAGTAGTGCACTATATAGGGAATAGGGTACCATTCTCTGGTCTAAAGTAGTGCACTATATAGGGAATAGGGTGCCATTCTCTGGTCTAAAGTAGTGCACTATATAGGGAATAGGGTACCATTCTCTGCTATAGCTAGTAGCATGGCTGCTCTGCTCTGCTCTGCTCTGTTCTGCTCTGTGGAGATGGGGAGGATTCTCCCCTCAGACAGACAGACAGACAGGGGAGATGGGGAGGATTCTCCCCTCAGACTGACAGACAGACAGGGGAGATGGGGAGGATTCTCCCCTCAGACTGACAGACAGACAGGGGAGATGGGGAGGATTCTCCCCTCAGACAGACAGACAGGGGAGATGGGGAGGATTCTCCCCTCAGACTGACAGACAGACAGACAGGGGAGATGGGGAGGATTCTCCCCTCAGACTGACAGACAGACAGGGGAGATGGGGAGGATTCTCCCCTCAGACAGACAGACAGACAGGGGAGATGGGGAGGATTCTCCCCTCAGACTGACAGACAGACAGGGGAGATGGGGAGGATTCTCCCCTCACACTGACAGACAGGGGAGATGGGGAGGATTCTCCCCTCACACTGACAGACAGACAGGGGAGATGGGGAGGATTCTCCCCTCACACTGACAGACAGACAGGGGAGATGGGGAGGATTCTCCCCTCAGACAGACACAGACAGACAGGGGAGATGGGGAGGATTCTCCCCTCAGACTGACAGACAGACAGGGGAGATGGGCAGGATTCTCCCCTCAGACTGACAGACAGACAGGGGAGATGGGGAGGATTCTCCCCTCAGCCTGACAGACAGACAGACAGGGGAGATGGGGAGGATTCTCCCCTCAGACTGACAGACAGACAGGGGAGATGGGGAGGATGCTCCCCTCAGACTGACAGACAGACAGACAGGGGAGATGGGGAGGATTCTCCCCTCAGACAGACAGACAGACAGGGGAGATGGGGAGGATTCTCCCCTCAGACTGACAGACAGACAGGGGAGATGGGGAGGATTCTCCCCTCAGACTGACAGACAGACAGACAGGGGAGATGGGGAGGATTCTCCCCTCAGACAGACAGACAGACAGACAGGGGAGATGGGGAGGATTCTCCCCTCAGACTGACAGACAGGGGAGATGGGGAGGATTCTCCCCTCAGACAGACAGACAGGGGAGATGGGGAGGATTCTCCCCTCAGACTGACAGACAGACAGGGGAGATGGGGAGGATTCTCCCCTCAGACTGACAGACAGACAGGGGAGATGGGGAGGATTCTCCCCTCAGACAGACAGACAGACAGGGGAGATGGGGAGGATTCTCCCCTCAGACTGACAGACAGACAGGGGAGATGGGGAGGATTCTCCCCTCAGACTGACAGACAGACAGACAGGGGAGATGGGGAGGATTCTCCCCTCAGACTGACAGACAGACAGGGGAGATGGGGAGGATTCTCCCCTCAGACTGACAGACAGACAGGGGAGATGGGGAGGATTCTCCCCTCAGACAGACAGACAGACAGGGGAGATGGGGAGGATTCTCCCCTCAGACTGACAGACAGACAGGGGAGATGAGGAGGATTCTCCCCTCAGACTGACAGACAGACAGACAGGGGAGATGGGGAGGATTCTCCCCTCAGACTGACAGACAGACAGGGGAGATGGGGAGGATTCTCCCCTCAGACTGACAGACAGACAGGGGAGATGGGGAGGATTCTCCCCTCAGACTGACAGACAGGGAGGGATATTTAGTTCTCTATCTTACGCTGAGGCATTTTTGCCGTTTTACCGTTGGGCCGGTACGCTGGTTTGAATCCATGAGCCGACTAAGGGAAAAATCTGTCGGTTCCCTTGAGCAAGGCACTTAACCCAAATTGCTCCTTTAAGTCGCTTTGGATAAGAGCGTCTGCTAAATTCATGCCGACACAATGTCTGTGCTCACTTGGGCGTGGTTACTGACTGGGCAAATGTTCTAATGAGAAAACAATTAACTCATTAGAAGGCTAAAATCACATTGCTATCTTAACCAAAATACTCTCATACTTAATCATATATTTTATACGACATTTAGATGTAAACTTGAGAAGTAGAATATGTACATTTTCCGAGTTAGTTATTTCTTGATACCATTCTTAATGACATCACTAAATAATAAACAATATGACATGATTATTCTTTAGATCCCTACTGACCTTTCCAAACATTTGGATGTCAGAAAAAATGTTCCAATGTCCAATCTTTTGACGTTAGTGTTTAGGCAGGCCACTCTCTCTAGACGTAGACATTCCTTTGGTGGATACTGAAAGGCAGAGAGAGAAAGTTTCTCTCCTGCTTAAATTTAGGACCCAGTGTTAAGGTGTCAAGACCGGCTCAGCCCCCCTTCCCCAGTGTTAAGGTGTCAAGACCGGCTCAGCCCCCCTTCCCCAGTGTTAAGGTGTCAAGACCAGCTCAGCCCCCCTTCCCCAGTGTTAAGGTGTCAAGACCGGCTCAGCCCCCCTTCCCCAGTGTTAAGGTGTCAAGACCGGCTCAGCCCCCCTTCCCCAGTGTTAAGGTGTCAAGACCGGCTCAGCCCCCTTCCCCAGTGTTAAGGTGTCAAGACCGGCTCAGCCCCCCTTCCCCAGTGTTAAGGTGTCAAGACCGGCTCAGCCCCCCTTCCCCAGTGTTAAGGTGTCAAGACCGGCTCAGCCCCCCTTCCCCAGTGTTAAGGTGTCAAGACCGGCTCAGCCCCTCTTCTGTGGGAGAGAGGGGGTCTGGATATCTTCAAGCAGTTGCCTAGCTGATGGGTCCTTTGATCCACTGTCAGGAGAGTCATGACAGATGGCTAGTGGCCAGGGAGTGGGGTATCTTCCCTCAGTCTTGGAGGACAGACGTGTGTGTGTGGTAGCAAGTAAACCAAAAATATAAACAATTTCAAAGATTTTACTGAGTTACAGTTCATATAAGGAAATCAGTCAATTTAAATAAATTAAGTAGGCCCTATTCTATGGATTTCACATGACTGGGAATACAGATATTAATCTGTTGGTCACAGATCCCTTTAAAAAAGGTAGGTGCGTGGATCAGAAAACCAGTCAGTATCTGGTGGGACCACCATTTGCCTCATGCAGCGCGACACAGCTCCTTCCCATAGAGTTGATCAGGCTGTTGATTGTGGCCTGTGGAATGTTGTCCCATTCCTCTTCAATGGCTGTGTGAAGTTGCTGGATATTGGCGGGAACTGGAACACGCTGTTATACACGTCAATCCAGAGCATCCCAAACGTGCTCAATGGGTGACATGTCTGGTAAGTATGTAGGCCAATGAAGAACTGGGACATTTTCAGCTTCCAGGAATTGTGTCCAGATCCTTGTGACATGGGGGCTTACATTATCATGCTGAAACATGAGGTGATGGAGGCGGATGAATGGCACAACAATGGGCCTCAGGATCTCGTCACAGTGTCTCTGTGCATTCAAATTGGTTTCGCTAAAATGCAATTGTGTTCATTGTCCATAGCTTATGCCTGCCCATACCATAACCCCACCGCCACCATGGGGCACCCTGTTCACAACGTTGAGATCAGCAAACCGCCCGCCCACACAACGCCATACACGCTGACTGCCATCTGCCCGGTACAGTTGAAACCGGGATTCATCCGTGAAGAGCACACTTCTCCAACCTGCCAGTGGCCATCGAAGGTGAGCAGTTGTCCACTGAAGTCGGTTACGACGCCAAACTGCAGTCAGGTCAAGACCCTGGTGAGGACGACGAGCACGCGGATGAGCTTCCCTGAGACGGTTTCTGACAGTTTGTGCAGACAGTTTCATCAGCTGTCCGGGTGGCTGGTCTCAAACGATCCCGCAGGTGTAGAAGCCGGATGTGGAGGTCCTGGGCTGGCGTGGTTACACGTGGACTGCGGTTGTGAGGCCGGTTAGACGTACTGCCAAATTCTCTAAAACGGCGGCTTATGGTAGAGAGATAAACATTACATTCTCTGGCAACAGCTCTGTCCGGACATTCCTACAGTCAGCATGTCAATTGCATGCTCCTTCAATTTACCCTAGTCAAAAAATTAGTGATTATATATGTTATTCTCACAAACCTGTAGGATTAGTGATTTTATATAGGATTATCACAATCCTATAGGATTTAGTCACCTGTATCAGAATCCTATTGGAATTCTATAGGACATACTGCAGCCAATCAACTAGTACAGATATAATATACTAGTGCAGAAAATGATGATGGATGTCTGTCTGATAATGATGGATGTCTGTCTGATAATGATGGATGTCTGTCTGATAATGATAGATGTCTGTCTGATAATGATGATGGATGTCTGTCTGATAATGATAGATGTCTGTCTGATAATGATAGATGTCTGTCTGATAATAATGATGATGGATGTCTGTCTGATAATGATAGATGTCTGTCTGATAATGATGGATGTCTGTCTGATAATGATGGATGTCTGTCTGATAATGATGGATGTCTGTCTGATAATGATGGATGTCTGTCTGATAATGATGGATGTCTGTCTGATAATGATGGATGTCTGTCTGATAATGATAGATGGATGTCTGTCTGATAATAATAGATGTCTGTCTGATAATGATGGATGTCTGTCTGATAATGATAGATGTCTGTCTGATAATAATGATGATGGATGTCTGTCTGATAATGATAGATGTCTGTCTGATAATGATGATGGATGTCTGTCTGATAATGATAGATGTCTGTCTGATAATGATGGATGTCTGTCTGATAATGATAGATGTCTGTCTGATAATGATGGATGTCTGTCTGATAATGATAGATGTCTGTCTGATAATGATGGATGTCTGTCTGATAATGATAGATGTCTGTCTGATAATGATAGATGTCTGTCTGATAATGATGTTTTCTGTCTGATAATGATGCTGCTGTCTGATAATGATGGATGTCTGTTTTGATAATGATGTTGTCTGTCTGATAATGATGGATGTCTGTCTGATAATGATGTGTCTGTCTGATAATGATGTGTCTGTCTGATAATGATGATGTCTGTCTGATAATGACGGATGTCTGTCTGATAATGATGGATGTCTGATAATGAGTGATGTCTGTCTGATAATGATAGATGTCTGTCTGATAATGATGATGTCTGTCTGATAATGAATGAGGGTGTTGTCTGATAATGATGGATGTCTGTCTGATAATGATGGATGTCTGTCTGATAATGATAGGATGTCTGTCTGATAATGATGGATGTCTGTCTGATAATGATAGATGTCTGTCTGATAATGATAGATGTCTGTCTGATAATGATAGATGTCTGTCTGATAATGATGGATGTCTGTCTGATAATGATAGATGTCTGTCTGATAAGGATGATGGATGTCTGTCTGATAATGATGGATGTCTGTCTGATAATGATAGGATGTCTGTCTGATAATGATAGATGTCTGTCTGATAATGATGGAGTTCTGTCTGATAATGGAAAGGATGTCTGTCTGATAATGATAGATGTCTGTCTGATAATGATAGATGTCTGCTGATAATGATGGATGTCTTCTGATAATGATGATGATAATGATGATGTCTGTCTGATAATGATGAGTGTCTGTTGATAGATGTCTGTCTGATAATGATTGTCTGTCTGATAATGATAGAGTCTGTCTGATAATGATGATGTCTGTAGATGATCTGTCGTGATAATGATAGATGTCTGTCTGATAATGATGGATGTCTGTCTGATAATGAAGATGTCTGTCGGATAATGATGGATGTCTGTCTGATAATGATGGATGTCTGTCTGATAATGATGATGTCTGTCTGATAATGATGTTGTCTGTCTGATAATGGGTGCGTTGAAATGATGATGTCGTCTGATAATGATGATGTCTGTCTGATAATGATGGATGTCTGTCTGATAATGATGGATGTCTGTCTGATAATGCATAGATGTCTGTCTGAATAATGATAGATGTCTGTATGATAATGTAGGGCTGTATGATATGATGTCTGTCTGATAATGATGGATGTCTGTCTGATAATGATGGATGTCGGTCTGATAATGAATGGATGTCTGTCTGATAATGATAGATGTCTGTCTGATAATGATATGATGTCTGTCTGATAATGATGGATGTCTGTCGATAATGATAGATGTCTGTCTGATAATGATGGATTTTCTGTCTGATAAAGATGTGTCTGTCGATAATGATTGTCTGTCTGATAATGATGGTGTCTGTCTGATAATGATAGTGTCGTCAATGAGGTCTGTCTGATAATGATGGATGTCTGTCTGATAATGATAGATGTCTGTCTGATAATGATGATGTCTGTTGTAAGGATGTGGATAGATTCTGTCTGATAATGAATGCTGTCTGATAATGATGGATGTCTGTCTGATAATGATGGATGTCTGTCTGATAATGATGGATGTCTGTCTGATAATGATGATGTCTGTCTGATAATGATAGATGTCTGTCTGATAATGATGGATGTCTGTCTGATAATGATGGATGTCTGTCTGATAATGATGGATGTCTGTCTGATAATGATAGGATGTCTGTCTGATAATGATGGATGTCTGTCTGATAATGATGGATGTCTGTCTGATAATGATAGATGTCTGTCTGATAATGATAGATGTCTGTCTGATAATGATGGATGTCTGTCTGATAATGATGGATGTCTGTCTGATAATGATGATGTCTGTCTGATAATGATAAGTTGTCGATATGATGGATGTCTGTCTGATAATGATGGATGGTCTGTGCTGAAATGATAGATGTCTGTCTGATAATGATGGATTGTCTGTCTGATAATGATGAGTCTGTCTGATAATGATGAGATTGTACTGTCTGTCTGATAATGATAGGATGTGTCTGTAGGATAATGATATGTCTGTCTGATAATGATAGATGTCTGTCTGATAATGATGTGGATGTATGTCTGATAATGATAGATGTCTGTCTGATAATGATAGATGTCTGTCTGATAATGATGGATGTCTGTCTGATAATGATGGGATGTCTGTCTGATAATGATAGATGTCTGTCTGATAATGATAGATGTCTGTCTGATAATGATGGATGTCTGTCTGATAATAGATGGATGTCTGTCTGATAATGATGATGTCTGTCTGATAATGATAGATGTCTGTCTGATAATGATAGATGTCTGTCTGATAATGAGGATGTCTGTCTGATAATGATAGATGTCTGTCTGTAATGATGATGGATGTCTGTCTGATAATGATGGGTCTGTTATGATAATGAAGATGTCTGTCTGATAATGATAGAGTGTCTGTCTGATAATGATAGATGTCTGTCTGATAATGATGGATGGTCTGTCTGATAATGATAGATGTCGTCTGTAATGATGATGGATGTCTGTCTGATAATGATAGATGTCTGTCTGATAATGATAGATGTCTGTCTGATAATATGATCTGTCTGATAATGATGTCGTTGTCTGATAATGATAGATGTCTGTCTGATTAATGATGGATGTCTGTCTGATAATGATGGATGTCTGTCTGATAACTGATAGATGTCGTGATAATATGGATGTCTGTCTGATAATGATGATGTCTGTCTGATATGATGATGTCTGTCTGATAATGAGGATGGTCTGTTGATAATGATGGATGTCTGTCTGAAATGATGGATGTCTGTATGATAATGATAGATGTCTGTCTGATAATGATGATTGTCTGTCTGATATGATGATGTCTGTCTGATAATGATGGATGTCTGTCTGATAATGATAGATGTCTGTCTGATAATGATAGATGATAATAATAGATGCTGTCTGATAATGATAGATGTCTTATGTAATGATGGATGTCTGTCTGTAATGATGGATGTTGTCTGATAATGATAGGATGTCTGTCTGAATGAATGCTGAGATGTCTGTCTTTATAATGATGGATGTCTGTCTGTATTGATGTCTGTCTGATAATGATGGATGTTCGTCTGATAATGATAGATGTCTGTCTGATAATGATGAGTCTGTGGATAATGATGATGCTGTCTGATAATGATGGATGTTCTGTCTGATAATGAGGATGTCTGTCTGATAATGAGTGTCTGTCGTGATAATGATGTCTGTCTGATAATGATGGATGTCTGTCTGATAATGATAGGATGTCTGTCTGATAATGATAGGATGTCTGTGATAATGATGATGTCTGTCTGATAATGATGATGTCTGTCTGATAATGATGGATGTCGTCTGTATGATGAAGTCTGCTGATATGATGATGTCTGTCTGATAATGATGGATGTCTGTCTGATAATGATAGATGTCTGTCTGATAATGATGGATGTCTGTCTGATAATGATGGATGTCTGTCTGATAATGAGATGTCGTCTGTATGATAATGATGATGCTGTCTGATTAATAGAGGTAGATGTCTGTCTGATAATGATGGATGTCTGTCTGATAATGATGGATGTCTGTTGATAATGATGGATGTCTGTCTGATAATGATGGATTGTCTGTCTGATAATGATGATGTCTGTCTGATAATGATGATGTTCTGTCTGATAATGATGGATGTCTGTTGATAATGATAGATGTCTGTCTGATAATGATGGATGTCTGTCTGATAATGATGATGTCTGTCTGATAATGATGGGATGTCTGTCTGATAATGATGATGTCTGTTGATAATGATAGGAGTCTGTCTGATAATGATGAGTCTGTCTGATAATGATGGATTGTCTGTCTGATAATGATGATTGTCTGTCTGATAATGATGGATGTTGTTGATAATGAGGTGTCTGTCTGATAATGATGGATGTCTGTCTGATAATGATGAGTCTGTCTGATAATGATAGATGTCTGATAATGATGTGATAATGATAGATGTCTGTCTGATAATGATGACGATGATAATGATGGATGTCTGTCCTAATAATGATAGATGTCTGTCTGATAATGATGGATGTCTGTCTGATAATGATGGATGTCTGTCTGATAATGATAGGATGTCTGTCTGATAATGATAGATTTGTCTATGTCTGATAATGATGGATGTCTGGTCGATAATGATAGATTGTCTGTCTGATAATGATGGATGTCTGTCTGATAAGATGGATGTCTGTCTGATAATGATGGATGTCTGTCTGATAATGATGGATGTCTGTCTGATAATGATGGATGTCTGTCTGATAATGATGATGTCTGTCTGATAATGATGGTGTCTGTCTGATAATGATAGGAATGTCTGTTGATAATGATGATGTCGTCTGTAATGATGATGTCTGTCTGATAATGATGATGTCTGTCTGATAATGATGGATGTCTGTCTGATAATGATGGATGTCTGTGTCTGATAATGATGGATGTCTGTCTGATAATGATAGATGTCTGTCTGATAATGATATGATGTCTGTCTGATAATGATGATGTCTGTCTGATAATGATGTGTTGTCGATATGATCTGTCTGTCTGATAATATAGATGTCTGTCTGATAATGAGATGTCTGTCTGATAATGATTGGGATGTTTTGTCTGATAATGATAGATGTCTGTCTGATAATGAGGGTGTCTGTCTGATAATGATGGAGGTCTGTCTGATAATGATGATGTCTGTCTGATAATGATGATGTCTGTTGATAATGATGAAAATGTCTGTCTGATAATGATGTCTGTCTGATAATGAGGGTTCTGTCTGTTTTTTGATAATGATGGAGGTCTGTCTGATAATGATGGATGTTCCTGTCTGATAATGATAGATGTCTGTTGATAATGATAGATGTCTGTCTGATAATGATGGATGTCTGTCTGTTTAATGATGGATGTTGTTTTGATAATGATGGATGTCTGTCTGATAATGGATGTCTGTCTGATAATGATAGTTGTCTGTCTGATAATGATAGTGTCTGTTTTGATAAGGGATCTGTTGATAATATAGATTTTGTCTGATAATGATGGATGTCTGTCTGATAATGATGGTGTCTGTTGATAATGATGATGTCTGTCTGATAATGAGGATGTCTGTTGAAATGATGTTTGGTCTGTCTGATAATGTGATGTCTGTTGATAAGAGGTTGTCTGTCTGATAATGATGTCTGTCGTCTGATAATAATGGATGTCTGTCTGATAATGATGTCTGTCTGTCTGATAATGATTGTCTGTTGTTGATAAGTTTGTCTGTCTGTCTGATAATGATGGATGTCTGTCTGTTTAATGATGTCTGTGTCGATAATGATGAGTCTGTCTGATAATGATGATGTCTGTCTTGATAATGATGATGTCTGTCTGATAATGATAGATGTCTGTCGGATAATGAGGATGTCTGTCTGATAATGATGGAGCTGTTGATAATGATGATGTTGTCTGATAATGAGTTGTTGTTGTCTGATTAATGGGATGTCTGTCTGAAAATGATAGATGTTCTTTTCTGATAATGATGTTGTCTTTTCTGATAATGATGATGTTGTTGATAATGATGGAGGTCTGTCTGATAATGAGGATGTGTGTCTGATAATGATGGATGTTCTGTTGATAATTGAGGATGTCTGTTGTCTGATAATGATGGATGTCTGTCTGATAATGATAGAGTCTGTTGATAATGATGGATGTCTGTCTGATAATGATGTGTCTGTCTGATAATGATAGTTTGTCTGTCTGATAATGATGGATGTCTGTCTGATAATGATGTTTTGTTGTTGATAATGATGTCTGTCTGTCTGATAATGATGTCTGTCTGTCTGATAATGATGTGTCTGTCTGATAATGATGTTTGTTTGTCTGATAAGATGGATGTCTGTCTGATAATGAGGATGTCTGATAATGATTGTGGTTTGTTCTGTTTGTTTAATGATGTGTCGGTCTGATAATGATTGGGTTTCGTTGATAATGAGGATGTCTGTCTGATAATGATGGGGTTTTTGATAATGATGGATGTCTGTCTGATAATGATGGTCTGTCTGATAAGATGTCGGGTTGATAATGAGTCGTCTGTATGAAATGTAGTGTCTGTCTGATAATGATAGATGTCTGTTGATAATGATGGTGTCTGTCTGATAATGATGGATTGTCTGTCTGATAATGATGTCTGTCTGTCGGTTGATAATGATAGATGTCTGTCTGATAACTGATAATGATGTGATGTCTGTCTGATATGATAGATGTCTTTTGATAATGATAGTGTCTGTCTGATAATGATGGTTGTCTGTCTGATAATGTGAGTTGTTATAAGTGGATGTCTGTATAATGATGAGATGTCTGTCTGATAATAAAGTGGATGTCTGTCTGATAATGATAGATGTCTGTCTAAAATGATGGATGTCTGTATGATAATGATAGATGTCGTCGGGATAATGATGGTTTGTCTGTCTGATAATGATGGTGTCTGTTGATAATGAGGGATTTTCTGTCTGATAAGGATGATGTCTGTCTGAAAATAAAATGCTGCTGAATTTGTCTTTTGAAAATGATGGATGTTCTGTCGGGAAAAATGATGGTGTCTGATAATGATGTCTGTCTGTCTGATAATGATCGGTCTTTTTTGCTGTCTGATAATGATAGTGTTGTCTGATAATGATGTCTGTCGTCTGATAATGATTAGATGTCTGTTGATAATGATAGATGTTGTCTGATAATGATGGATGTCTGTTGATAAATGTTTGTCTGTATGAAAATTGTCTGTCTGATATGATGATTATAGATGTCTGTCTGATAATGATGTGTCTGTCTGATAATGATGGTCTGTTTGTCTGGATAATATAGATGTCTGTCTGATAATGATGGATGTCGTGATAATGTGTGTGTCTGATAATGATGTGTTGTCTGATAATGATGGTTGTCTGTTGATATGATGAGATGTCTGTTGATAATGATGTTGTCTGTTGCTAGATGTCTTTGTTTTAATGATGGTGTCTGTCTGATAATGTGTCTGTCTGTAAATGATGGATGTCGGTCTGATAATGATAGAGTCTGTTGATAATGATGGATGTCTGTCTGATAATGATAGATGTCTGTCTGATAATGATGATGTCTGTTGATAATGAGGATGTTGTCTGATAATGAGGGTTGGGTCTGATAATGATGTCTGTCTGTCTGATAATGATGTCTGTCTGTTGATAATGAGTCTGTCTGTCTGATAATGATTGTTTGTCTGTAATGATGGATGTTGTCTGATAATGAGGATGTCTGTATGTTTCTGGTGATAAGTCTGTCTGATAATGATGTGTCTGTTGATAATGATGGTTTGTTGTCTGATTAATGATGTCGTGTCGATAAGGGGTTGTGTCTATAATGATGTTGTCTGTCTGATAATGATGGATGTCTGTATAATGAGGGCTGTCTGTCTGATAATGATAGTGTCTGGAATGTGAGTTGTCTGATAATGATGGATGTCTGTTGATAATGATGGTGTCTGTCTGATAATGATGGATGTCTGTGATAATGATAGATTTCTGTATAATGATGTGCTGTCTGATAATGATGATGTCTGTCTGATATGAGGATGTCTGTCTGATAATGATGATGTCTGTCTGATAATGATAGATGTCTGTCTGATAATGATAGATGTCTGTCTGATAATGAGGTGTCTGTTCGATATGATGTGTCTGTTGATAATGATGATGTCTGTCTGATAATGATGATGTCTGTCTGATAATGATGTATGTCTGTCTGATAATGTGTCTGTGTGATAATGATGGATGTCTGTCTGATAATGATGGTCTGATAGATGTCTGTCTGATATGATATGATGTCTGTGTCTGATAATGATGTCTGTCTGTCTGATAATGATGTCGTTTGTTGATAATGATGGATGTCTGTCTGATAATGATAGATTGTCTGTCTGATAATGATGGTGTCTGTCTGATAATGATAGATGTCTGTCTGATAATGATGATGTCTGTATGATAATGATAGATGTCGTCTGATAATGATGGATGTCTGTCTGATAATGAGTGTTGATTGAGTGTCTGTCTGATAATGATAGATGTCTGTCTGATAATGATGGATGTCTGTCTGATAAATCTGATAAGATGATCTAATAGATGTCTGTCTGATAAATAGATGGGTCTGTAATGATGATGTCTCTGAGATATTGATAATGATGGATGTCTGTCTGATAATGATAGATGTCTGTCTGATAATGATGGATGTCTGTCTGATAATGATGGATGTCTGTCTGATAATGATGGATGTCTGTCTGATAATGATGGATGTCTGTCTGATAATGATAGATGTCTGTCTGATAATGATGATGTCTGTCTGATAATGATGTATGATTTGCTGATAATGATAGATGTCTGTCTGATAATGATGGATTGTCTTGTCTGATATGATGGATGTCTGTCTGAGTAATGAATGATGTCTGTCTGATAATGATGTGTAATGCTGTGTCTGTCTGATAATGATGATGTCTGTCTGATAATGATGGATGTCTGTCTGATAATGATGGATGTCTGTCTGATAATGATGTCGTCTGTCTGATAATGAGATGTCGTTGTAATGAGTCTTGTCGATAATGCTGTAGTCTGTCTGATAATGATGCTGTCTGTCTGATAATGATGTACTGTCTGTCTCTATAAATGATGTCTGTCTGTCTGATAATGATCGTTGTCTGATAATGATGCTGTCTGTCTGATAATGATGGTGTCTGTCTGATATGATAGATGCTGTCTGATATGATGTCTGTCTGTATAATGATGTCTGTCTGTATGATAATGTGGATGTCTGTTGGTCTGATTAATGATGTCTGTCTGTCTGATAATGATGTGTCTGTCTGTATGATCTGATGGAGATGTCTGTCTGATAATGATGGTCTGTCTGTTGAAGTCTGATATGATGTGTCTGTCTGATAATGATGTCTGTCTGTCTGATAATGATGTCTGTCTGTCTGATAATGATGATGTCTGTCTGATAATGATGTCTGTCTGTCTGATAATGATGGATGTCTGTCTGATAATGATAGATGTCTGTCTGATAATGATGTTGTCTGGATGTCTGTCTATAATGATGGTCTGTCGATAATGATGTCTGTTGATAATGATGTCTTCTGTCTGTGCTGTTCTGATAATGATGTCTGTCTGTCTGATAATGATGTCTGTCTGTCTGATAATGATGTCTGTTTGTCTGATAATGATGGATGTCTGTCTGATAATGATGGATGTCTGATAATGATGTCTGTCTGTCTGATAATGATGTCTGTGTCTGATAATGATGTCTGTCTGTCTGATAATGATGTCTGTTTGTCTGATAATGATGGATGTCTGTCTGATAATGATGTCTGTCTGTCTGATAATGATGTCTGTGTCTGATAATGATGTCTGTCTGTCTGATAATGATGTCTGTCTGTCTGATAATGATAGATGTCTGTCTGATAATGATAGATGTTTGTCTGATAATGATAGATGTTTGTCTGATAATGATGTCTGTCTGTCTGATAATGATGTCTGTCTGTCTGATAATGATGTCTGTCTGTCTGATAATGACGGATGTCTGTCTAATAATGACGGATGTCTGTCTGATAATGACGGATGTCTGTCTGATAATGACGGATGTCTGTCTGATAATGATAGATGTCTGTCTGATAATGATAGATGTCTGTCTGATAATGATGTCTGTTTGTCTGATAATGATGGATGTCTGTCTGATAATGATAGATGTCTGTCTGATAATATTGTGGTTTTGTGTTCCAGATCTGGGGCGTTCCAGGGAGCTGCAGTTTGTGTTTGTTGACAACAACGTTCACCTAAAAGGCCTTCCTTCATACCTGTACAACAAGGTGATTGGCTGCAGCGGGTAAGGACCGCCCCCTAACCCTTTATATATGTACTAGTTGATTGGCTGCAGCGGGTAAGGACTGCCCCCTAACCCTTTATATATGTACTAGTTGATTGGCTGCAGCGGGTAAGGACTGCCCCCTAACCCTTTATATATGTACTAGTTGATTGGCTGCAGCGGGTAAGGACTGCCCCCTAACCCTTTATATATGTACTAGTTGATTGGCTGCAGCGGGTAAGGACTGCCCCCTAACCCTTTATATATGTACTAGTTGATTGGCTGCAGCGGGTAAGGACTGCCCCCTAACCCTTTATATATGTACTAGTTGATTGGCTGCAGCGGGTAAGGACTGCCCCCTAACCCTTTATATATGTACTAGTTGACTGGCTGCAGCGGGTAAGGACTGCCCCCTAACCCTTTATATATGTACTAGTTGATTGGCTGCAGCGGGTAAGGACCGCCCCCTAACCCTTTATATATGTACTAGTTGATTGGCTGCAGCGGGTAAGGACTGCCCCCTAACCCTTTATATATGTACTAGTTGATTGGCTGCAGTATGTAAGGACACATCTCCATCCCTTTCTTCAAACCCAGCTTTTTTCTGGATGAATATTTTTTTTTAAACGCATATTTTGTGTAGGCATTTCATTGCTTACTGACCTTTTTCTCAATCGGATAAATCTTTGTCTATAAATGTATTATAGCAGAATTTGGATTTGAGTCTGACATTGACTTCTGCCTGTCTGTCTAACCTGTCTGTCTGTTTCTCTCTCTCCGTGTCTCTCCAGGTGTGGTCTGCCAGGGCAGGTGTCTGACCGGGCGCCCCAGCCTCTGTCTCTGTCTCTGGGAGATGTGTCTGTTCCTCTGCCTGCTGAGGTGAAGGCTATAGGCTCAGAGACGGAGCGAGTGGGCCCCCTGGAGGAGCTCGCCATGAGGGCCCTGCACAGCATGTACCGGCGACAGCCACTCAGAGGTGAGGAGACCCACGGATACAGCTGCACACACAGATCCTCTTGGGTCTTCTGATATTTAATCATAAGGTTAATCAGCAAGGTGTTACATCCTCTAAACTAGATTAAAGTTGAGAACGTTCCACCTTGATCACACCATAGAGACATGAAGTGTTATTTAATTCATCACACCATAGAGACATGAAGTGTTATTTAATTCATCACACCATAGAGACGTGAAGTGTTATTAATTCATCACACCATAGAGACATGAAGTGTTATTTAATTCATCACACCATAGAGACATGAAGTTTTATTTAATTCATCACACCATAGAGACATGAAGTGTTATTTAATTCATCACACCATAGAGACGTGAAGTGTTATTAATTCATCACACCATAGAGACATGAAGTGTTATTTAATTCATCACACCATAGAGACATGAAGTTTTATTTAATTCATCACACCATAGAGACATGAAGTGTTATTTAATTCATCACACCATAGAGACATGAAGTGTTATTTAATTCATCACACCATAGAGACATGAAGTGTTATTTAATTCATCACACCATAGAGACATGAAGTGTTATTTAATTCATCACGCCATAGAGACATGAAGTGTTATTAATTCATCACACCATAGAGACATGAAGTGTTATTTAATTCATCACACCATAGAGACATGAAGTGTTATTTAATTCATCACACCATAGAGACATGAAGTGTTATTTAATTCATCACACCATAGAGACATGAAGTGTTATTTAATTCATCACACCATAGAGACATGAAGTGTTATTTAATTCATCACACCATAGAGATGAATTAAAGACATGAAGTGTTATTTAATTCATCACACCATAGAGACATGAAGTGTTATTAATTCATCACACCATAGAGACATGAAGTGTTATTTAATTCATCACACCATAGAGACATGAAGTGTTATTAATTCATCACACCATAGAGATGAATTAAAGACATGAAGTGTTATTTAATTCATCACACCATAGAGACATGAAGTGTTATTAATTCATCACACCATAGAGACATGAAGTGTTATTTAATTCATCACACCATAGAGACATGAAGTGTTATTTAATTCATCACACCATAGAGACATGAAGTGTTATTAATTCATCACACCATAGAGACATGAAGTGTTATTTAATTCATCACACCATAGAGACATGAAGTGTTATTTAATTCATCACACCATAGAGACATGAAGTGTTATTTAATTCATCACACCATAGAGACATGAAGTGTTATTAATTCATCACACCATAGAGACATGAAGTGTTATTTAATTCATCACACCATAGAGACATGAAGTGTTATTTAATTCATCACACCATAGAGACATGAAGTGTTATTTAATTCATCACACCATAGAGACATGAAGTGTTATTTAATTCATCACACCATAGAGACATGAAGTGTTATTAATTCATCACACCATAGAGATGAATTAAAGACATGAAGTGTTATTTAATTCATCACACCATAGAGACATGAAGTGTTATTAATTCATCACACCATAGAGACATGAAGTGTTATTTAATTCATCACACCATAGAGACATGAAGTGTTATTAATTCATCACACCATAGAGACATGAAGTGTTATTAATTCATCACACCATAGAGACATGAAGTGTTATTTAATTCATCACACCATAGAGACATGAAGTGTTATTTAATTCATCACACCATAGAGACATGAAGTGTTATTTAATTCATCACACCATAGAGACATGAAGTGTTATTTAATTCATCACACCATAGAGACATTAAGTGTTATTAATTCATCACACCATAGAGACATGAAGTGTTATTTAATTCATCACACCATAGAGACATGAAGTGTTCTTTAATTCATCACACCATAGGGCTAATATATAATATGGCGTCTGTCACAAATGGCACCCTATTTCCTATATAGTGCACTGCTTTAGACCAGAGGTGTATGACCATGGCACCCTATTTCCTATATAGTGCACTGCTTTTTAGGGAATAGGGTGCCATTTGGGGGACACATCACGTCTAATGAATGACAGCTTTGGGCTAATACTTTCCCACTCTGAAATGATACATCACTCTGAAATGATACATTAACTGAAATGATACATCACTCTGAAATGATACATCACACTGAAATGATACATTAACTGAAATGATACATTAACTGAAATGATACATCACACTCTGAAATGATACATCACACTCTGAAATGATACATCACACTCTGAAATGATACATTACACTGAAATGATACATGACACTGAAATAATACATTACACTTGAAATAATACATGACATATACACGCCCGTCTGAAGTTTGCCGATGAACATCTGAATGATTCAGAGGAGAACTGGGTGAAAGTGTTGTGGTCAGATGAGACCAAAATGGAGCTCTTTGGCATCAACTCAACTCGCCGTGTTTGGAGGAGGAGGAATGCTGCCTATGACCCCAAGAACACCATCCCCACCGTCAAACATGGAGGTGGAAACATTATGCTTTGGGGGTGTTTTTCTGCTAAGGGGACAGGACAACTTCACCGCATCAAAGGGACGATGGATGGGGCCATGTACCGTCAAATCTTGGGTGAGAACCTCCTTCCCTCAGCCAGGGCATTGAAAATGGGTCGTGGGTGGGTATTCCAGCATGACAATGACCCAAAACACACGGCCAAGGCAACAAAGGAGTGGCTCAAGAGGAAGCACATTAAGGTCCTGGAGTTGCCAAACGTCAGCCTTGAAACCTTAATGACTTGGAGAAGATCTGCAAAGAGGAGTGGGACAAAATCCCTCCTGAGATGTGTGCAAACCTGGTGGCCAACTACAAGAAACATCTGACCTCTGTGATTGCCAACAAGGGTTTTGCAACCAAGTACTAAGTCGTGTTTTTTGCAGAGGGGTCAAATACTTATTTCCCTCATTAAAATGCAAATCAATTTATAACATTTTTAAAATTATAGACTGATCATGTCTTTGTCAGTGGGAAAACGTACAAAATCAGCAGGGGATCAAATACTTTTTTCCCTCACTGTAGGTTTGGTTAGGTGATTGATTGAAGTACTATGTACATGTAGGTTTGGTTAGGTGATTGATTGAAGTACTATGTACATGTAGGTAGGGGGTGAAAGCAGAAAGTCCAGGTAGCCGTTTAATGAACTGTTTAGCAGTCTTATGGCTTTGGGGTAGTCCCAGACTTGGCTCTCTGGTACCGCCTGCCGTGGGGTAGCAGAGAGAACTGACTGTGACTTGGGTGGCTGGAGTCTTTGACAATCTTTAGGGCCTTCCCCAACGAGCGTCAGAGCCGGTGTAGTAGGATTCGATCTTAGTCCTGTATTGACGCTTTGCCTGTTTGATGGTTCGTCGGAGGGCATAGCGGGATTTCTTATAACCGTCCAGATTAGTGTCCCGCTCCTTGAAAGCAGCAGCTCTACCCTTTAGCTCAGTGCGGATGTTGCCTGTAATCCATGGCTTCTGGTTAGGATATGTACGTACGGTCACTGTGGGGACTACGCCGTTGATGCACTTATTAATGAAGCCGGTGACTGATTTGGTAAACTCCTCAATGCCATCGAATGAATCCCTTAATATATTCCAGTCTGTACTAGTGAAACAGTCCTGTAGCTTAGCATCCACTTCATCGGACACTTCCGTATTGACCGAGTCACTGGTACTTCCTGCTTTAGTTTTAACTTGTAAGCAGGAATCAGGAGGATAGAATTATGGTCAGATTTGCCAAATGGAGTCCGAAAGAGCGCTTTGTACCCGTCTGTATGTAGAGTAAAGGTGGTCTAGAGTTTTTTCACCTCTAGTTGCCCAGGAGACATGCTGGTAGAAATGAGGTAAAACGGATTTCAGTTTGCCTGGATTAAAATCACCAGCCACTAGGAGCGCCGCTTCTGGATGAGCATTTTCTTGTTTGCTTATGGCCTTATACAGCTCGCTGAGTGTGGTCTTAGTGCCAGCATCGGTTTGTGGTGGTAAATAAACAGCTCAGAAACATATAGATGAAAAAAACCCTCTCTTGGTAGATAGTGGTATGGTAGTATGGTCTGCAGCTGATCATGAGGTATTCTACCTCAGGCGAGCAGAACCTCAGGCGAGCAGAACCTCAGGCGAGCAGAACCTCAGGCGAGCAGAACCTCGGGCGAGCAGAACCTCGGGCGAGCAGAACCTCGGGCGAGCAGAACCTCGGGCGAGCAGAACCTCAGGCGAGCAGAACCTTGAGACTTCCTTAATATAAATCGCGCACCTGTTGTTGACAAAGAGCCCCCCCCCGATCTTCCCTGACGCAGCGGTTCTGTCCTGGCGATGTATAGCAAACCCAGCTAGATTTATATATTTAACATGTCCTTGTTCAGCCAGGACTCTGAGAAACATAGGATTTTACAGTTCTTAAGATCACGTTGATAGGATAGTCTCGAACAGAGCTCATCCAGTTTATTCTCCAGTGATTGGAAGAGAGGGTAATGGTGACGTATCCACTCGCCGTCGCTGTCTCGTTAGATATCCCCCACGTCAACCTCTCTAGCGCCGCCTCGTCCTCCTCCTGACGGGGCTTTGGGCCTGGTCTGGGATGAGCATTATGTCCTTGGCCTCCGACTCGTTGAAATGGAAGTCCTCCTAGGGGCCTCCCGAGTGGCGCAGTGGTCTAAGGCACTGCATCGCAGTGCTAGCTGTGCCACTAGAGAACCTGGTTTGATTCCAAGCTCTGTCGCAGCCGGCCGCGACCGGGAGATCCATGGGGCGGCGCACAATTGGCCCAGCGCCATCCAGGGTAGGGTAGGGTTTGGCGGCAGGGATGTCCTTGTCCCACTAGCGACTCCTGTGGCGGGCTGGGCGCAGTGCACGCTGACTCAGTCGCCAGGTGTACGGTGTTTCCTCCGGCACATTGGTGCGGCTGGCTTCCGGGTTGAGCGGGCACCGTGTCAAGAAGCAGTGCGGCTAGGTTGGGTTGTGTTTCGGAGGACGCACGACTCTCAACCTTCGCCTCTCCCGTGTCCGTACGGGAGTTGTAGCGATGTGACAAGACTGTAACCACCAATTGGATACCACGAAATTGAGGATCAGTGCAAAGAAAACACACAAAATACCACAATTGGTCAGGAGCCTGTAAAACGGCGGCCATCCCCTCCGGCGCCATTCTTTCACATCACTGCAACACCACACTAACCCCAGGCATCCTGCTAGTACTGTGGTCTGTCTACAACAATGACAGTCATTCACTGCAACACCACACTAACCCCAGGCATCCTGCTAGTACTGTGGTCTGACTACAACAATGACAGTCATTCACTGCAACACCACACTAACCCCAGGCATCCTGCTAGTACTGTGGTCTGACTACAACAATGACAGTCATTCACTGCAACACCACACTAACCCCAGGCATCCTGCTAGTACTGTGGTCTGACTACAACAATGACAGTCATTCACTGCAACACCCACACTAACCCCAGGCATCCTGCTAGTACTGTGGTCTGACTACAACAATGACAGTCATTCACTGCAACACCACACTAACCCCAGGCATCCTGCTAGTACTGTGGTCTGACTACAACAATGACAGTCATTCACTGCAACACCACACTAACCCCAGGCATCCTGCTAGTACTGTGGTCTGACTACAACAATGACAGTCATTCACTGCAACACCACACTAACCCCAGGCATCCTGCTAGTACTGTGGTCTGTCTACAACAATGACAGTCATTATTTTTTCTAATTGAAGACAATGACTGGATGGTTTAGCACCTTGCATGCTATGAGACAGACGTGTCCAGAAGGGTGTAACCCTTGGTCATTTTAAAACTCCCTCTCTATCCCAGGTGGTTATATTAAACTCCCTCTCTATCCCAGGTGGTTATATTAAACTCCCTCTCTATCCCAGGTGGTTATATTAAACTCCCTCTCTATCCCAGGTGGTTATATTAAACTCCCTCTCTATCCCAGGTGGTTATATTAAACTCCCTCTCTATCCCAGGTGGTTATATTAAACTCCCTCTCTATCCCAGGTGGTTATATTAAACTCCCTCTCTATCCCAGGTGGTTATATTAAACTCCCTCTCTATCCCAGGTGGCCATTTTAAAACTCCCTCTCTATCCCAGGTGGTTATATTAAACTCCCTCTCTATCCCAGGTGGTTATATTAAACTCCCTCTCTATCCCAGGTGGTTATATTAAACTCCCTCTCTATCCCAGGTGGTTATATTAAACTCCCTCTCTATCCCAGGTGGTTATATTAAACTCCCTCTCTATCCCAGGTGGTTATATTAAACTCCCTCTCTATCCCAGGTGGTTATATTAAACTCCCTCTCTATCCCAGGTGGTTATATTAAACTCCCTCTCTATCCCAGGTGGTTATTTTAAACTCCCTCTCTATCCCAGGTGGTTATATTAAACTCCCTCTCTATCCCAGGTGGTTATATTAAACTCCCTCTCTATCCCAGGTGGTTATATTAAACTCCCTCTCTATCCCAGGTGGCCATTATTAAAACTCCCTCTCTATCCCAGGTGGTTATATTAAACTCCCTCTCTATCCCAGGTGGTTTATATTAAACTCCCTCTCTATCCCAGGTGGTTATATTAAACTCCCTCTCTATCCCAGGTGGTTATATTAAACTCCCTCTCTATCCCAGGTGGTTATATTAAACTCCCTCTCTATCCCAGGTGGGTTATATTAAACTCCCTCTCTATCCCAGGTGGTTATATTAAACTCCCTCTCTATCCCAGGTGGTTATATTAAACTCCCTCTCTATCCCAGGTGGTTATATTAAACTCCCTCTCTATCCCAGGTGGTTATATTAAACTCCCTCTCTATCCCAGGTGGTTATATTAAACTCCCTCTCTATCCCAGGTGGTTATATTAAACTCCCTCTCTATCCCAGGTGGTTATATTAAACTCCCTCTCTATCCCAGGTGGTTATATTAAACTCCCTCTCTATCCCAGGTGGTTATATTTAAACTCCCTCTCTATCCCAGGTGGTTATATTAAACTCCCTCTCTATCCCAGGTGGTTATATTAACTCCCTCTCTATCCCAGGTGGTTATATTAACTCCCTCTCTATCCCCAGGTGGTTATATTAAACTCCCTCTCTATCCCAGGTGGTTATATTAAACTCCCTCTCTATCCCAGGTGGTTATATTAAACTCCCTCTCTATCCCAGGTGGTTATATTAAACTCCCTCTCTATCCCAGGTGGTTTATATTAAACTCCCTCTCTATCCCATGTGGCCATATTAAAACTCCCTCTCTATCCCAGGTGGTTATATTAAACTCCCTCTCTATCCCAGGTGGTTATTTAAACTCCCTCTCTATCCCAGGTGGTTATATTAAACTCCCTCTCTATCCCAGGTGGCCATTTTAACCCCTTCTATCCCAGGTGGTTATATTAAACTCCCTCTCTATCCCAGGTGGTTATATTAAACTCCCTCTCTATCCCAGGTGGTTATATTAAACTCCCTCTCTATCCCAGGTGGTTATATTAAACTCCCTCTCTATCCCAGGTGGTTATATTAAACTCCCTCTCTATCCCAGGTGGTTATATTAAACTCCCTCTCTATCCCAGGTGGTTATATTAAACTCCCTCTCTATCCCAGGTGGTTATATTAAACTCCCTCTCTATCCCAGGTGGTTATATTAAACTCCCTCTCTATCCCAGGTGGTTATATTAAACTCCCTCTCTATCCCAGGTGGTTATATTAAACTCCCTCTCTATCCCCAGGTGGTTATATTAAACTCCCTCTCTATCCCAGGTGGTTATATTAAACTCCCTCTCTATCCCAGGTGGTTATATTAAACTCCCTCTCTATCCCAGGTGGTTATATTAAACTCCCTCTCTATCCCAGGTGGTTATATTAAACTCCCTCTCTATCCCAGGTGGTTATATTAAACTCCCTCTCTATCCCAGGTGGTTATATTAAACTCCCTCTCTATCCCAGGTGGTTATATTAAACTCCCTCTCTATCCCAGGTGGTCATTTTAAAACTCCCTCTCTATCCCAGGTGGTTATATTAAACTCCCTCTCTATCCCAGGTGGTTGTTGGAAAAGAGAAGATGTCCTCCCTAACCTCCCTGGTTAAATAAAGGAACCTCAATAAATAGATTCCTCCTCTCTTCCTTCCTCTCTCTCTCTCTCTCCCTGTCTGTCTCTCAGAGCTGAATCTGCTGTCGCCATTCCTGTTACCCAGAAGCCTTCTGGACCTGCTGCAATGCCCCCTGGGACATTGTCACCGCTGCAGTCAGCCAATGTTTACCATCATCTACCCCAAACTGTTCCCCCTCAGAGAGACCGCCCTGGCTGGGGTACACCGCAGGTAACTAACCCTGACTCATAACTGCTGACCATAACCACCCATAATCCTAACCACCCCTGACCCTAACCACCCATAACCCCTGACCCTAACCACCCCTGACCCTAACCACCCATAACCCCTGACCCTAACCACCCGTAACCCCTGACCCTAACCACCCATAACCCCTGACCCTAACCACCCATAACCCCTGACCCCAACCACCCATAACCCATAACCCCTGACCCTAACCACCCCTGTCCCCAACCACCCATAACCCCTGACCATAACCACCCCTGTCCCTAACCACCCGTAACCCCTGACCATAACCACCCATAACCCCTGACCCCAACCACCCATAACCCCTGACCCTAACCACCCCTGTCCCCAACCACCCATAACCCCTGACCCCAACCACACCCCCTGTCCCCAACCACCCATAACCCCTGTCCCCAACCACCCATAACCCCTGTCCCCCCAACCAACCCATAACCCCGCGACCCTATACCACCCTCCCCCGAACCCCAAACCCCCCCTAACCCCTACCCTAACCCCCAAACCCCTCCCAACCCCCTAACCCCTGCCCCCCCAACCCCCCAAAACCCCTTTCCCCACCACCCTCCCCTACCCTAACCCCCTCCCCCTGACCCTCCCCCCCCATCCCTACCCAACCCCCTCCCCTACCCCTAACCCCCCTACCCCAACCCCCCTAACCCGCCCCAACCCTAAAGGTCTAAAGGGATGTGCTCTTTCCCACTTACCCTCCCTCTTCCTCTCTCTCTCCTCTCCCCCCCCCCTCGCTTCTCCCGCTCTCCCCCTCTCCCCCTTTTCCTCTCTCTCTCTCTTCTCTCTCTCTCCCCCTCTTTTCCCTTCCCCCCTCTCTGCTCCTTCCTTTTCCCTCTCTCTCTCTCTCTCCCCCCTCTCTCTCTCTCTCTCTCTCTCCCCCCTCTCTCCCCCCCCCTTTTCCCTTTCCCTTCCTTTTATCTCTCTCTCTTCTCTCCCCCTCTCTCTCTCTCTCCCCTGCTCTCCCTTTTAAATTCAATTAAGGGCTTTATTGTCATGGAAACGTTTTTAAACATTCACAAGAAAGTAAATAATTAAAAAAAAGGAAAATAAATATAAAAACA